GTACTTGTAGTCACAACAACAGTACTAGATGTAGTCTGGATCGGGTAGGGAGTCGAGATAGCGGTAGCAGTGGCAGTGGCAGTGGCAGTGGTTGAAGGAGTGACAATCGTGATAGTTTGAGAAAGAGTGGAAGTTTTCAACGTGGTGGGCGAAGGCACGGGCGCAGTTGTGGCCGGAATATAGTTGACTTCGATGCAGCAGTCAAACCACTCGATAAGAGTACAGGAAGATCCTAGCTCAGTGGTGATTGGGTTCTAGTCAGGTTAGAAGCTATACATGATCACGGTTCATCATTCCCCAGGCCAACTGGAAGAAACTCACCCAGTCCTCAAAGTCTGCCTCTGAGATTCGAGCTGCCTCTAGTACCAAGGCGCATGTCACGGCAGGGCCTGCAATGATCCACGCACTGCAGTTGGGGTTTGCACCCGGCGCGGCAGTCCCTGGAGGAGGGACTAAGTATGCGCCTGCAAGGGAGGAAAAGAGAAGAGCAAGTGGTGGGAGGGAGAATGAAGTCAGCATCATGTCGGTCTGGTTTCTTTCCTCTCAACAAAAAAAAAAAAATAACATGTGAGGCAAGATATTCACTTCGGAGGGAAGAGGTCTCTCATCTTTTTTTATATCTGTTGTCCGGTCATTGGAAGCCTATTCTTCGGATGAATGACGATGACTCCTAATCCTACCATAATTTCGGGGATGCAATTTCGGTCGGCACTACGAGATATTAGGCTGCGTTAGATCGACTTTTCCTTATGTGGTCCTTTTCTGTGGCCCAAGCCTAGAGTTGAATGGATCGAGTATGTCAGGCCAGACTGAACAATACGGGCATACAGTGAGCTCAATTGAAGTCGGCCCATTTTTGAACTCTCATGGGTCAAATAGGCAATTATACGAGCTCAGTATTGTATCCTATGTCGTGCCCCATCTGCCAATGGATCTCGAGTCTGATATTGCTAGAAGCTGCCTTGCTACCTCTCTGGGCTCATACAAAAAGCGTCTGCCTAAACTGATTGGAAAGAATGGGACCTGCAATCATCGAATCAGATCTAATTGAGATGCCTTTTAGCCGACTACCAAAGCGACCCTGGTATGGTATGGCCGTGTATTGCGGAGAGTAGTTTTCGCCGCGGTAAAAACGGTAGGGGATCAATACCTCTTTCAGTACCAGCGCTGCCATTGAAGGGTTCATTTAATAACAGTAGATTGCTTAAGCTACACTAAGCTTCGCTAAGCCGGGGGCAGATCAGACCCTGGACATCCCCTGATTACTGCATTAGGCATGATAATCTCGGCAGAGTTGCCTGAGCTTCGCACGCCGAGGTTAGCCGCATGAACCCTGTCCTCTTGGACTCTCCTACTTGGTGCACCTCCGAGAGGGGTCCATTGCTTATCATTTCCAAACATCCACACATCGAGCACCCTTTCTCTGCTGTTCCGGACTTACATGAAAAGAAAATAAAGAGATCTTATATAAAATTAAGTCTTTTTTTGGTGTAGGTGCTATATATCATAGACTTTCGCCCTATGGGATTGGCTACTGCAGGTCCAGCAGTACTCTAGCCGGATTGCCACTTCAACTTGTTGGGTGTAGTGGACAGTGTGGGAAACATGGTATTGTGAATCTATTTTTGTTGAATAAACAATTAATCAGGACCTCTCGGTGACCCAGCCTCAATCCCACCCACCCTTAGCCACTTCGAAACCGCGCCATGCGTGTGCAGGGATGAACCGAACATGTCATTATCGCCATCATTGGTGCTCCCCAGAGACTACCTGGGATCTGAAAGTCTGGTCTACCCATTCGTTCCAACATTTGCCGTGCTACCCGCTCTAGTTACCCATTGACACTGATTTCGATAACTCTATTTCCCTTGTTCACCTGGCTCGTGTCCCACTCGCTTGCATCTATCCCAGCTGTCACGTCCGCCCGTGCCCTATCGCGACGACCTGGTTGCCTGTGCTGCGTCCTCTCGTCCGTGTCCGTGTCCAATGACATAAATACCTCATCGGAGCTTCAGTTGTCTCAGCTAAACCTCTCCCGCCGGGGACTGCAATGCACCGTCGGATAGAATCGTGGATGCCCGTTCGATGGTATCCACGTTCGTGGACATGGATACGGATCCTGGGTTCGATATCACCCGCTTTATCCGCCCAGATTCTCAGGCGTAGACTTTACTATAGTACTCTTGACTTTAATTCCAAGTATGTGAGGGGTTTTTATCCTATGCCGGATCTGGCACCCGAGATATCTCATTGACTTTTTGAGGCCCCTCCGTATCACAGGAACCACGGAGGGCGGGTTTCACTCAACTGAGGAGAAGGGGAATTGATACTACGTACATTACATGACGTTGATCATTCTACGAGAACCTGCTTTAATGTAACCACACAGTTTAGTGGCGCAAAGGATGGCTGATAATAGATCCAATGGACAGAAAACAGTTGAACAGGCAATGGAACTTTGCAACGTAACTGATCAGAGTATCGCCCACCGTCCACACAATCACCACTCGTCAGATCCGGTCAAGTCAAAGTACCCGGAGATACATGTAGGCAACTATAATACATACGTATTTTATTTTAGCCTAAACCACTGGGACAGGGTATATAACCCCGCCCTTCCCATTGTCGGGTCCTCGATCATTCGTTTCTATCTTTGACTTGCTAACTACAGATTCTATTTTCTGGTCACCAATCGATGGATTCAACGAATGGTATGCATTCAGCAAATGTACACGGATCAATGAATAACGAGATTCAGATTCCGTGAGGGGCATTCTCGAGGTCACTCTTGGCCAAACCCGAGACCTGGAGAACCATGATTTTCGCCAATATGAGATAGTTTTCTTTGACACGAGTTATATTATCTGCGGCGCGAGCTTCTCCGATAACAAACGTTGGCCTTACGACGGCCGGACATGGCGATTTGACGTCACCCGTCCAGCCGAGCTGCAGATTTGGCTATATCGACATCGAGGTAGACTTCATTCAAAGGCAGACACATTCCTAGGCAAAACGACATTCCAACCCTCCTTCACGAATCATGAAGCCTCACCGGTATGGCTCAATCTTCATGGCAAAGCGGGCGCTATCAAGATTACAACCAAGTTCATTCCTGCGGATTCGCCCCTTATTTTCACGAGGCACTTTGAGCGCATGGATATATTATCCAACCACAGTACAGCCTCTATGAGTCCCACAATACGTTGCCGGTATATATAACCCTCCAGCAAACAGGGCCACTTCTCATAACTTATCTTCATTCACAGGAAGAAAGACTCTGATCGGTTCTATGTGTTCATAATCATGCGCCCTTGGGAACCTGACTATCGGGCTGAAAACCCAGCTGCTATTCAGATCAACTGTCCTTTTATTCTCCCACTCAGATTCGCCCTTCGATGCTCTGATGGGAGACGCTTCCTTGCTTGTACCTATCTCAATTACAGCCTCTCTGAGTACTTGGAAAGAAGAGATCATGTCGACTTCTCCGAGGCTCGGCTTTTTGCCGCTCAGTTGTTCTGCATCGTGGAATGCCTCCATGGTCTCGACATCACCTGGGGCAGATTCCGACCTCAGAACATCTACATCGATCCTGTCGGCTACCTCGCTTTCAGTAATCTAGATATTTATGCCGCAAAAAAGGTGGACAACTATCTATCTCCCGAGATCCAATACACGAAAAATGCCGACTGGTGGTCTTTCGGCACTATTCTGTACGAAATTCTCACCGGTCATCTACCCCCCAAAGCCACCGATAATAATTACAGTGAGGCTCTGGCGTTCCCGGCTTCATCCAATGGCATCCCGTTCCCCAAAGCTGCTGAGGATCTTTTAACACGCCTCCTCGACTTGGATCCTCTCCGACGCCTAGGCGCAAACGGACCCGACGAAGTCAAGTCTCACCCTTTCTTTGATGAGATAGACTGGGACAAACTTGTCAAAAAGGAGTATGTTCCCAGCTTTCAAGCACCTTTACCCCAAGATCGATGGCCAGGGGGTGAGGAATTTTGTGCTGAGGAAGTTAAATCCGTTTGGAGGAAGGAGAAGTTGCGGGTGCTATCGGATGAACTGCTAGACCAGTTCGAAGGCTTCGAATATGTTCGGCCTGGAGTATGATTATGTCATGGCACACTGATATTTGGCCAACAGGCTAGCTTTGCTGGGAAAGTGTTTACTTTATTCAATATCTACTCCTGTTTCATTTTTGTTCTTTTTTTTCCCCTCTACTACGGCGTTATGGGAATATGATACTAGTTTATCCTGCAGTCACGGATGTAAATCAGCCATAACAGACCATCATACTCACCATTGACTAGCTCCTAATCTATCATCCCTAAGTACCTGCCTACTTCAGTACAGATATGATATTCTCGATTTTGCGAGTATAGTCGATCTTTACATCATAAAGGAACATCGTTTGAACAAAAGCAAAACGAAACAGAACCCTGCACCACGAATAACATCACCATAGGCTGGAATCCATAACTGTATGACCTCTCAAAACCTCCCAGCTACTCTCATGCCACGCTATCTTCTTTCTCTTTTGTACCAGTACTACTACCTACATTCCTTCCCATCTATCTGTCTACCTAGTACTCTACACAACAACCAAAAAAAAAAAGACCTTAATAAACCAAACCCAAGACATTCTTTAAGACCTACTACCTATAGGAAGTAAACTCTACATATTACACCAACCCCCCCAAAACCATCTTACCATACATACACAACACCCAAACCCCCTCGCTCCTCCTAGAAATCAAATAAATCCTAAAAACCAACCCATAAACACCCCCTTCCCCCCCTCTCCCTCCCCTCTACCCAAAACCCAAACCCAATATCATAACCATCCTCTATATACTATACTATACTGTACTATGTATAATGAGGGAAACAAAAAACCATCCGAATATTTAAAAAAAAAAATCACCCGGATAGATATAGATTATGTTACCCTTAGCTTAGAAATATATAACCAAAGACATGACGCAGGAAATAAGAAATCCTCGATGGTCTAACGGTCATGATTTCCGCTTGTCAATCCTGGTTCAGGAACAAGCGCGGGAGACCTGGGTTCGACTCCCAGTCGGGGAGATTTCTTTTTTGGGGTTTTTTTTTCTCTTTTTGGCCTCTCTTATTGTGGTTTTTTACTGTGTTGGGTGGAGATTTATCTTTTGTGTGGTAATGTTGATCATGGTTTGAGTATCACGGCTAGTCTATATAGAAATCTTGAATTTGGTACTAATAGGCTGGTGGATCGGAGGTATATATTTTTCTCTCTCCCAGGACTAAGTAAGTGTCATTTCAATCGGGGTTGGAATTTATTATTTGTAAAACCCCGTAGAAAGAT